TGGTATAGGATTTGTTTCAAGTTTAACTTCTCTTAGCAACGCTGTCGTCCTGCGTAGTTTGCTCCCTTAGTCGACTCTTACGTCACCCACGGAATGACTAGGAGTGGCCACACTCCGTATTCTTATCCATTCTCACACGGTTACAAATACAATCTGTATTATTTAATTTTTCTCTGCCCATATATGCTGTGGCAAAGGATATTTTTAACGAGCCTGTGACATTATCATGGCACATATAGACCAGACCAGAGTGCTACCACGACCTTGACAACTGATGTTAGGCAAGTCTTTCGTTGTTCTTTCTTTGTTTTTTACCGAGTGAGTGAGGCGACCGGAGCCTGAACCTGATTCTGGGGAGGAGGAACTCAAAAAAACACTATTGAGGTGCAAATGTCAGTGGGCGGCAGTAGTGTTGGTAATTATGGCTACTTTTAAATCATAATCATATGATGTATTTATTATATTTAGTCACTGCGATTTCACCTGTTATAAATCACTACCGAGATTAGGTCATAGACAAAGATAAATGCCTTAAAAAAAGTTAAGCAAAGAAAAAACCAAACTTTTTATCAAAGATCACGACCATTCTTTAGGACACACCTAAATCTGACCTTTTGCGAGTCTGGCGCTAGCGTAATCACAATCATAACTCGCAGTAGATTTGTAATTTAGTCATAGATTATATAACTTAGAAATCATACAATTTATAACAGGTGATTGTAATTTTATAACATCCCTAGGCGGCAGTAGTCAGTAACCATCAAGTGTACCGTCTGCTCATGGGGAGCACGAGACGACAGTTTCCTTGATGGTTTACTTTAATAAAAAAAACAGCCTTGTAACGTCGAGGTTTGTACACAACAGAAGCAAAGAGCAAGCTGATAGCGACGCCATTCAAAGCTGATTACCGTTGACTCTTTATACTACATCGTTGACTTTTAATTAAAATAGGAGTAATTTTTAAAATCGAATCGATCGGAGGAGGTCCTCAATTCAATATGACTATGCCGAATCGTGTCGATTTTTTTTTGTCTATGCTTTTGACTCGATAATGATATCTAAAAGTGATCATAAAACTGGAATGGATGAAATTTAATTTAATACAATGACTGTACCAAACATTAGCTAAGAGCTTGAACAGTTTAATTGTCATCATTGGCCATGAAATCGTCGACCACCTTAAATTTTCTTAACCTAAAATATAATTCATTTCTTTGATGAATATGAATGAAATATAACGAAAAATGTAGGTAAACGTAAAATAAGAGTATTATGAATATTTAAGAACAAATCCCTAATTTCTTTTTTCCTTGATGATCAAAAGAATGAAAGAAAAATATTATATCTTCATTTCAATTCCATTGCAAATGATTTGAACAGTCAAGTTTTGCGATTAAGTAATTATATAAAATATTTAATACTGAACTTAGAGCACCAACTAGTTTCGCCTATGGGCTCTAGATTAATACCTAAGAACATAATTTTTACGACCAAAGTTAAAGATTAATAATTAATTTGCTATGGGAAATTACAAAACGTCTTTATAGCAACCTGTCGTTTGAATTTAGGGGAGCAGGTTTTCGTCAGATGGTAATGGTAACGCCCATTTAGCCGTTTCATTCATAAATAAGCGGCAAAGTTAGACCGGTATATGTAGAAGCCCACATGTCTCGGTTGTTATTTCCGACTTTTCTTTTATGCTGAGGCATACATCCTTAACTGATGTCTGCCGTATGATCCTGAATAACAATACACTACAACGAGACCACACTCGTTATATACAACTAATATCTTAAACAAACATTTTGCGCTAAATGTTTGTTATGTCTTTACGCCCTAAATACAACAAAGGTACAAAAAAGGATCGTTCATTCAAAAGAAAAGTTGTGTCCGAAGGATTACTTTATAACTGCCTCGGTGGTGCAGTGGTAGCGTATGCGACTTCGGTCGGATCAAATGTTTGTATGATCGGCAAATATTTGTTTCGGAGTTGTCTATGGAAAAAAAAAGTATAAAAGTATTCTATCAGTCAATCTAGCTTTCATGGTACAAGTTCTGCTTAGTTTACAACCAGATGGCGTTGTGTGTCAGATGTCCGATTATAATTAATTTTCATCATCATCAATAATCAACAGCCTTTATCAGTCCACTGCTAGACATAGACCTCTCCTTAGAAAGGAGGTTTTGGCCTACTGCGAATATACCAACCTGGCAAGTAGGGTTGGTCTAAGGTTTGTGTCAAGTTTTCCTTCCCTTTGCAGTGCTGTTGTCCTGCGTAGTTTGTACCCTTAGTCGGCTCTTACGACACCTACGGGATGTATAGGGGTGGTGACACTCCATATTCTTAATCCGTCACCACACGAACCGGCCGCCATGCCACACGTACACGCTTACGCCATGGCTAAGGCCACATAAAGTTAGAAAAAAAATCTCACATACAGTCCCCTATTGAAGTGAGGATAACGTGCTGTTTTATAAATCACTGTGTTATCGTACAGTAAACAGCTATCGCGCGTATCGTATCGATACATCACCTGTTATCGCGAACCTAAAGTCGTGGGAACTACTCTACTAGGACAGCGATTATGGGGCACTATCTCTCGTTATCGATAACAACATGATTGAACATCTATATAATTATAGAGCAGTGTGAAGATAATTATCAAACTAAGCTTTAAATAAAATAAGTATAATACGTCGTAATGTTAGCTGCTCATGTAGTTAGCTAGATGCAAGAACTATATTTAATCACACTACACATCATCACATCAACAGCTTTTAACAGTCATCTGCTGGACATAGGCCTCTCGTTGGAAAGGAGGTTTTGGCCTACTGTACCACGCTGGCCAGATGGCTTGGTATAGGTTTTGTGTCAAGTTTTTCTTCCCTTTTTAAAGCTGTTGTCCTGCATAGTTTGCCCCCTTATTCAGCTGTTACGACACCCATAATAATAATAAATTGTGTATTTTCTCGCCACAATACATTTTTACATAATTATAGCCTGCACAAGGATTATTACTAAATTTTATACTGTGGGAGACTGGTGCCTAACTCATGGGATGAATAGAGGTAATGCCACTTCGTATTCTTAATCCGACACCACACCGATATTTATAGTGTTTTGAAATTCTAAAAGAGATACTTTTCACTTAGAGGGAAGCCATATTTCGGCACAGATCGTCCGAGACATGGAAATTATTGCTACTCTCAAATTCTAGTCATTTGATGAAATGATTGGTTTCAGCCACAGCATTTAATTTTTTCAGATTGTGTTTTCGTCATATACAAAGATAAATGGCATTATAATCTATCAAAATTCTGCTCTCAATCACAGGTGTGATTTATACATCAAAAGATTTATCACATGTACATGGTACCACGACCTCACAGAAAACCGGTGTTAAGCAGTTCCTTCGTTGCTTTTCCGGAGCTCGAACACCGCCCAATCCCACTCCCGGGCCTTCGGCCGAGGTAGTCACTTACCATCGGTTGCCCTCTATACCATAAAACCAACTCACCAGTCTAGGAAATAGGTATATTGTATAAACAATGGTCCATATCCCAATTAACAGACAACGTCGTAGGCTATATACATACTAGTCTTATATGGCGTATCAAACGTCAAGCAATCGTATGTAAATCGAATTGTGTAATTCTAACTTAATACCACTGAACTGAGTGGTACAGCTTCTATTAGCTTACAGGGACTCGTGACAGAGTCGAAAACTCATGGCATATTACATACTGTGCTACAATTCTGCCAATATATGTAGCGTATTTATAAAATTATTATATTACTAGCTGGTGCCCGCGACTTCGTTCGCGTGGCATTTGAAGTTGCCTTAGTGACTTCAATTCCCGGACCAAGAAAATTTTATAGTTCCGAGAGATAAAATAGCCTAAGTTACTCCTTATATAGACAGCTACTTGGTAGTAAAATATTATCAAAATCGGTCTAGCCGTTTTGAAGATTACCCCGAACAAACAGACAGACAGACAAAAATATTAAACTGTTTTTAGGCATAGGTATCGTGCAAATAACCGTGTAAGCATGAGATAAAACTAGATATTATCTTGACATTACAAACAGAAATATATATAGTAAAATATATATTATTAATTTAATACATCAATTAGAATAGATAACAACTTCTACAATGCATTTAAAAACGTTAAAACGTAAAACAATATTTACTGATAGTCAAATGCTTAATTAAGCTAATAAGAATTCAATTTATCGACTTAAAATAGATACCAAACTACGCAAGGTATTTTGGTGATTGACCAAAACACAAACTATTTTTTTTATTGCATATTTAACCTACTACGTAACTTTATATGGCAAAGCGTGTTCTCGAAATGAGCACCTTGTCTGTACACGCACACACATATATAATCACATCAACACACAAATGAGAAATAGGGTGTGAACTTCGTTAGAGTTGAGGGTGAGAGTTGCAATGAGGACAAAGTTAAATTTGTGTAGTTGACAGTCAGGCAGTTATTTCGAATCTGTGGTACCTTGTATTGTAAGGTTCGCGCAGAACAGTTTCGGCATTCAGTAGGGACTCATTATTATTATTACCTATTTATGCTTTTGTACACAAACACAAGACCAGCTTAACCTAAGTTAGACTTCTTCATTTTTATTTTTAAAAAAACCTTACTAAGAACAATACTAATAGGAGGTACTATGTCTCATAGAGTTTGGTTACTGGTTAAATCCCTAAAAAAATATATAATTCCCTGAATGCTAAGAGATTATTATGCAGTAAAATACAAAATTTTTAGTATTTTTTAACCAATGGACTTATCTCTCACCTGACTGGACTCATACATAGCTAAAACCATAAAACTGTTATTTGCATATAAAATGATGTTCACATTCCGGCACATTGACACGCGAAGACGTAGTAAAAAGTTAATTAATAACGGTTAATATTTTATCACTAAATGAATTTCCCCCGGTTCTATCATTATTAATAATAAAATTTTAAATTATGTGCGCTGTAAAACCTTATCACCGTTCCTTTATCAGTGGGTACGGACAACTTGCTTGAAGTTCATTAGCACGAGTGTTAATAAAATGACGTGGCCGCTTTAACCCCTTAATGTTTAGGAATCATTGTTTTAATATGCCTGACGTAAATGGACGGACTATTTTGGTACGAGACTTAACGATGAGTAACCCATACATTGACCGAAATCACGCCCTCTTTAAATTTTAATTATGGGACTTACCAGGTGATGTTGTCGTAGTCTAGCATACAGTAAACCTTACCTATCCTATCTATGGTAAAAGAAAACCTTTTGCTTTAAGTAGGTACGAGATTCTTACGTTATTCTGATTTCTGCGACAAAATAAGAACAATATTATTTATTATCATCTAACAGTAGAGTACAGTTTTTAATATGTCAGTCGTAGAACTCCAAGCGTCAAATGAAACAGCCTCGTTTTGGGTTGTAAGTCTAGCAATACCGCAGCAATAAAAAATCTTTTACACATGGCACTTACACCGACAGATGCTATTTCCTTACCTATCTTACAGTGACCTATTTCCCGTTACAAAGGTAAACAGCCGGTACTAAATCATATAGATATTAGAAGAAATGATATATTTATACGATATGTAAGGGTTCAAGCGCCGTGTTGTAGGTTAGAAGAGATTTATCATAGAGAATGACTTAGTAATTATGTTAGTTAGACTGACTCAGATGGATTGAGGACACGATTTAACTTGTCATATGTAACAGAGATGTATTACCGAAGTTGACTTATGAAATATGACAGACAAAATTTAAGAAAGATTTACTAGGTTTACTGAACGCTTGACAAGGCTTTATCTCTCCTAAGTCGTTTTTGTTTCTAAGGATTGCAGTTAGTGTGTTGACTACGATTTACTGTTGCACACATTAACAATTTTTAACACCTCTGTAATAATATTTATTTCAGTTTAACATTCTAAGATTGCACTGTAATTTATTTCAGGAATATTATGTATACACGTCTGTAACATTCATTGCCAAAAGTTGTCATTTTCCAGCTGCCGCGCTTCGATAATAATATTTTTCTTAATAAATCATCTTGTTTTATAAGACACCTATATGTATAAATAATTTCAAAATCAAAATCTTATCCAAATACATAATTGCTTGTTTAACGTCATTACTTTATGGGATGTTTTATTTCATTTTCAACACAAAACAAATATTTTTACAGTGTACCTTTAACTTAACGTTATCTTACGTATGGTACGTATGTGAGCTATTGTAAAATTTGAATTTGTCTGCTACACAAATATAAGCAATGCCTAGTTTTTTTAGCAATCAAATCATCATACTTTTAAATTTTCACGACGCTACTATTTCATCATAATATATGTGATCTGCTTGCGAATAGAAATGATCCAAAATTTTAATTCTGTAATTCTATATGCTATAAAGTATTGTTTTCAATTATGAGTTCTTAACAAGGTGAGTGATTCAGTAATGAAATGTAGTGTAAAAATCTCAGATAAGCTCAACTGAAAAATAAAAAAAATTATGAGATGCGTTAAGTGTTTTGACTAACTTTTTACATTTTTTTAATAAAGAACAAAAATTCAAGGATAAATGAACGTGAACTTGTAACAGTCTTTAAATGTTAGAAATGTATATAAACAATGTTTGTGTTTTTAAGTTGTGGGATTAGTCACAGTAGAAATAGAGAGGATTAGGTAATCAAACGGTAAAATATATATTTAATGTGTTTCACCTGTTTTATTGGCTAAAACTTACCGGATACCGGTACGACAGCGCATAAAATACGAACAAAAACAGTTGATTTTTAAATTTTAGATTTACAAATACTAAACAGATAAACGTCCAAAAAAAAACTAATAAATTATAGTTTGGTATTATCTGTCAATATATGTGTATGAAAATACCTATCAAGACCTACACAACGATCTACGATCTACAAAAGAATTCTTGTAATATTTCACAGTATCTAACCTCAATTGACAAGCCTGAAAAAGCGACATTTCCCTCGTCTTGCGTTCATTATTTTCAAAGAAGGTTTTCATACTTGCCGGGGTCCATTGTTCCTTATGTATGATGTTAATAAAAGTGTTTCTATTGCAGGAGCGGCTTGGCGCGGCGTAAGGCGGGCCGCGCCATGGGTAACAAGTGCTGCAGCCGCCGTAATGCGCCAGATAGACCTTTGGGTGAGTTACCTCAAGAGGTTATTAGCCACTTACGGTATTATTTTTGTTAAGTGTCTGTGAATTTTATATTGTCTGGGAAGTATTTTGTAGCTTTAGTTGCTCCATTTAAAAGTCAGTAAGCCGTGAGCTATGAAAAGTAATATTTACTAGTATTACGGCTTAGTGTGGTATGGTAAATTCGTGTGGTGACTGATTAAGAATACGGAATGTCACCATCCCTATTCATCCCGTGGGTGTCGCAAAAGCCGACTAAGGGATAGTAAGATAATTTAACTAAATACCCCTTTTTTTGTTTTACTGCAATTACATAATTTCTTGATGGGAACATATTGTTGTGTTCTAAAAAATGTCTTTTTTTCATTTTAAGGTATTCATCTTAGTTTTGATTATTAATACTTAAGCCTGAAGGCATAACTTGAAGAAAGACACAGGTGTTGAGACTGAAGTTTATCATTATTAATTATGATGCTTCATTATTTTAATCAAAGTTTTACAGACTGCCATTATTGATGGTTGTTTAATGGATTTATCCTAATTTGATACTTTTCAAATGAGCTTATCAACTTCGTTGGTTTTGGGTACAGAAATATTTCTAACAGGCTATATGGAGAAGTTTAAATTTGTTGCATTTACAATTTCATCTATCAGAAAGAGTGGTGTGTGTTGTAAACACGCTTCACATTTTAAGTGTCACTGATATCTCAATCCCGTTAATATAATATTACTCGTAACATGAAAGATTTTTGTAACGAATTTTGTAATGAATTTATGGTGTGTAATGTATCAATCACGCCAGAGATTGAACGGATCTGGATGAAATTGAGCTGAAATTTATCTGAAATATACATACGCTAATTATAATCAGGAAAATAATGATTGACAAAATCGACATTAACGCTGCGAGTAATAGCTAGTATAAACTAAAACCAATTCATCATATCGCGATACAGGATTAGCAATTCTCATTCAGGAGTTACTCCGTAGTTCCATGTGTCTTCGTTAGATGGCGCTGTAGTATGTTTATGTTTCTTTGTATGTGAGAGTCGCCACAAATGTATTAGTCAATAGGTTTTGTAGTTATTTACTAGTTTTTTTTTGTAGTACTACTGTATTAAAATTTTGAGCAAATATGACGTCTAATTTATAAGAACCACACGCTCGTTTGATGTGACCTTAGTCTTACACTGCCCCCGTTAATGGACAATCTATTGATGGCAATCACTGTCTCGAGCGTAGTGAGTAGGCATATATTAATCTGCATGTGCGATCGATATGAACATGTTATAAGTATCACCACTATATATATTCAACTTTAATTATTATAATAAATAATTGTAGGAACTTAAGCCATCTGTTGTCATGAATACAATAAAATAGTTTTGAGCTCGGAGGAAAGTAGGTGAAGATTTAGGGTTCTGCACTCGATCAATATGACGACAAATCGTCATTTACATGAACGTATTTGCAGTTGCAATAAAAATAAATCTGTATGTGAATCTGCTCTTTCTATAATCACTTCAAGACATCTTATGTTGTTCAATAATATCGTCTTTAATACCTCAAACTATCAAACTTTTTTTAATGTCACAAGAATGAATCCTTTTTAGAAAAAAGTTGAACCGACGTCAAACAATACTAACAAATAACACTAAAAACCTAGCAGCAATCGCGGTTAACTTGCTGTCATTTTTTGAAGAGTTGTTGTCTGTCTCCAAAACTCACCATCAGATCTATATGAAATTGAAATAGGACCATTTCGGAATAAACTGCTTTAGAACATGACGTATATGACGAAGTTATGCCCGATCATACCTACAAAAAAAAAATCATCTGTATCGGTAACCTCCTCCTTTTTGAAGGCGGTTAAAAACATTAACTAACAATTCACTACTATGTTTGTTTGATATCAAGCGTGATATCTTTGGACAAGGTGAGTGACACTAGTAGGGATTTGAGTAAGACCACTGTGCACTGTACTATGGGTTCGTAAGACTCCGCGGTTTAATTGGCAATCGCCGTGAACTAAACTCCAGTTTTGATTTGTCATACAAAATGTTTGTAGGCCTTTGGGCCTAGGCGCTATGGTTACACGACGTGTAACACAACCATAGCGCAATCTAAATTTGTAACAGTTCCATCTAGGGAACGAAAGGATAACTAATATTTTCAATTTTGGAGTTTGATCCGTACTACGTACGTTTGATGTTATTGTTGGTCTCGAACAATGTTCTTCACCTGCAACGAGTGCAATGAGTCACCTGCAACTGAGGTGTTACAAATGAGTTGCCGTCCCTTGAGTCCCTGACCCTAGAGTCAGGCTGTAGATGGCCCGAGGTACGTCGGGGTACCAGGATGAAAGAATGACTTAACACTGGTTTTCTGTGAAGCCTCACTACCACTCCGGTCGAGCCCGATCCGGCCCATTTCTGCATGACTCTCCCACGGCAAAATTATAAGGAATAATAATAATTTCACACATCTTACACACGGCCGTCTGATTCCGAACTAGGCAGCGCCTGTGCTATGGTATCTAGACTGCTGATAAACTTATTTATATATTTCTAAATTAAAATATTTCTTGACTGCACGGATGGCTTAGTAGTTTAAGCGGTCACCTCGCCGCTTACTACTACGCTGAGTGTTGTCGCTGAGTGTTGTGGGTCCGATCCCCACATGGGACAACACTTTGTGTGATCTACAAATTGTTGTTCTGAGTCTGGGTGTTCTTCGTGCCCATTTCATGTTTATTAGTAAAGTCACATGATATATTCCTAATGCGGGAGTGGTCTATTAAAAAAAAACCATACATATCATAGATAAATGTCACCCAGACACAAAACAAACCATCGTGCTCATCACACAATTTTTTGTCCTGGGTGGGAACCGATCCCACGACCTCCCGCTTAGCAGTCAGGGTCAATAATCGCTAGATCAACGGGCCCATCAAATATGTTAAGGAATAGTTCTCAATAATGTGCGTCAAAACTAAAATTTTTAATTCATCGTACGAAACCCTCACCACACGAGTCCAACTCGCATTGGTCGGTTATATTTAATTCAGAAACCCAATTTTCTCACAGCTAAACAAACGTATTTCCTTGAAAAAAACAATGGTAGTAGATCTTTCGCACGATCCAAACACTAGCTATTAGACACAATTTACATTCATTCGTTACCAGTTTACAATTTTGAGGTCGTGTAACACATAGCGAACGTTTGGTAACAATATTAATTGTGACTAAATGGGCTTATGAATCAAACATCAATTACAGATTCAATGTAATTTATTAAAGTAACGAAAGGTCAAGGCGGAACAACGGTTACTTCGACTACTCAAACTGTGCCATCTGGTACAATTTAATTGTTGTGGGGCAATAATTTCATTATTTTGTTAACGTTATTGGTCCTTACAAACCTTTAAGATCTTGTCGACCTAACTTCAGCACATATGGACCACCTCTACCGAACTGATGTCACGGCCTTACAGAAAGTGATGATAAATCTTATTTATTTCTGGAAGTAAATCTTTTAAGATATATTGACAAGTCGGACTTTACGGCTAGAAGGAGACGGCATTACCTAAGACTCACTCAGTGTGGAAACGCCGAAACAAACCAAAGAGGTGTCTTTATAAGCTATTCTTTCCTTGAATTTTACCAAGTGTGTGAGGTTACCGAAGGTCCAAATACTCCCCCCACTCACCTAATTCTGGAGGGAGGCTCTTAAAGGGGGGCAAATGCACTTGGGAGTCTGCGTTGCAGGTATCTAAGATATCAGGACCTGTCTGATTGTTTGCCCTTATACGATGACAAAAAATTGATCCAATTTGCTAAGCGCTTTACGTTTTATATAATATTTAAATTTTGAGATTAATGTTAAGTGGCGTGCGAAAGACAATAGAACAGTGTACATTGACAATAATTACATAATGGTATTATACAATTGGAGTTTTGAAAATTGTGATACTAACCTACTGAAGCAGCACTGGCATCCTACTCAGATAATATATAAAGACCAGTTAGTTTTATTTAATTATTCAAATATATGGCATAAGGCGAACTTAATGCCATAGGCATTTTCTTTCTGTGAATCTTTACCTAGATATTGTAGAGCTGTGAGTGACAAGTGTATACAATAGATAACACAATTATCTTACATACTAGGTATACATGCACACAATTAATACATATTATAGTATAAATATGAAAACATTGTTCACACGTAGATATATATTATATGACAATATTGCACTCGATAGAGCTTGCGTACTTTAGGCTTAAAAGTTGATCAGCTGCTCGACATCTTGATTTCTAGGGGGAACGGGTTATCGTTTTTTTATGTGTATCGAAAAAAATCGCAGTCAAAAATTAATAAAAATGGTGATGACAATATTAGAATATATTCACTGGATTTAAAAAAAAACTTAAACGCAGTTAGAAGGGTGTTATTTTTCACGTATGGCGGTTTTGACTGCACGGATGGCGTAGTGGTTTAAGCGATCGCCACGTCGCTGAGTGTTGTGTGTTCGATCCCCACATAGGACACCACTTTGTGTGATCCACAAATTTTTCTTCTGCGTCTGGGTGTTCTTTGTGTCTATTTTATGTATGTTTGTGAAGTCCCCCACGACACAGGTTTTCGTCTAAAAGGCGCCTTAATGTTATTCTATGCTAATATTATAAAGAGGAAAGTTAGTATGTTCGGGGTAATCTCCGGTACCTACTACTGATCCGATTTTGAGAATTCTTTCGCTATTAGAAACGTGTGTTGTCCCTGAGAGCTATAGACTTTTACGGTTTTTTTATAACTCACGAGCCGCGGGCATAAGCAAGTGTTTAATAAATAATCATCAATAGCCTTTAATAGTCCACTGCTGGACATAAGCCTCTCCTTAGAAAGGAGGTAAAAAAAAAAAAAAATTAAGTTGTTCGATTAGAAAACTACTTAAAGCTGTACAATAGTTAAATAGATGAAAAAACCGGCTCTTAATCCAATTCTGTCATTTATATTTTGTCTCTTGATTTGAATGTAATATTTGACTATCCTAGTGGTTGGCTGGTAATGACCTTGTGATTGAGTTTCGACCTAGTAGTTGATTAATTATGTAATTTCAGTACTTACACAAATATAATTTAATTTCTAATTTTTCTTATGTTTTTGTTCTCACAATAAAAATACTAAAGTGTAATGTTTCAAGTTCCAGTGTACCCCAGCACATATAAGAACGAGGCGGGTTTCACAGCATGTCCGACTTCATTGGAGACACGCTACACGGGCGAGCCGAACACACGTGTATTGTCCCGGCAAGCAGCAGATATTGTGCGCATGCGCAACCCAGGCAAATGTAAGATTTATCAATTTTATGTCTGTCCATCCATGATATAAGGAACTGCATAACGCATCAGTTTACTACGATCGATTTTATCGCCTTTTTATCACGGTCACCTTATGATAAGTGACTAACTACCTACCCTTTGAGTCCCTCTCACCCCGGAAAGTAACTCGAATTGGCTGTGTACAAACCGAATCGATTTCCTCAACTAAATAAGCACCACTAGACTAATAGAGTACTTTGTCTTTGCTGATGAATTGGTGACTTTGCCCCCTCAAACTAGAATTTCAGGGGGACAAAGTTAAAATCGCTTTAATATAACTGTGGTGTCGCAAACGTTTCTAAGCGACTGGCATTACTTGCTAAAAGGGTGGGCTGTTCGCGAACAAAACAAAATAAAAAAAACGTACTATTTAACTATTTTAGGTACAACGAACGGCGGTCGTCGCGTAGTAAAAGCACTATGCGCTTACACAGCGAGAGCAGACTCGGACATTTCGTTCCGCAAGGGCGACCGCATGGAGGTGCTCAGCGACGTGGAACCAGACTGGTGGCGAGTGCTACATTTGACAACGAGGAGAGAAGGACTGGTGCCCGTCAATTTTGTCGCCGAAGAAAGCTCGGTGGAGTGTGAAGAGTGAGTATGAGAAGAATTTATCTCCTCGAATTTGGGAACTAATCTAGAAGTATCAGCTGCTAAAAACTAATTTCAAAACAGATACCAAATTGTTTCCTTCTGCAAAACAGGTTTACAACGATTTACGATTGCTTCCAACTATTCCTTTCGTTTCTTTTCAGCGGTTAAGACGGTTGGCAATGAGTGTACCCCTTTTTTTATTCTGTGCGGAAATCCCCTCGGATACCACCCACCGGTGGTTATGTCGGACTAGTATCAACCAAAAACCGCACGCCGTCTCGGATATCAGTAGTTGGGGAACCAGTAGATAGGAAATCCCTGGTACAATGAGATACCACTGGACGAAAAGCATCTACAACTAACGACTAACTAAAACCGTTTGCCATTAGGATATTTGCCATTCATTTAAGGCCTATATAAATAAAAAATTTCTTTCGCGCCATTCATATAATAGGGGTTTAAGTATGAAATTGCCGTTGTATAGTTATTTTATTATTAGTAATAGACACCTACTTTGAATTGACATAAAACTTTCATGGTGTGAGATTTTCGTGTGAAACTTTTTTCATATGATACCTAAGAGGTTCTTCTTTTAAAAAATACGCAACGTTTTTTATTCAGCTTAGATGTAAAAGATAGATACTTGGTAAATCCGAGCCATTTTTGAATACGAGTCCCGACGCGGATCTAACGCGGCAGAAACCGCTCGCAATATCAACGATGCGTTTGGAGAGAAGACTGCTAATGAAGAGTGCGATTTTGGTTTAAACACTTTCGTAATGGAAACTTCGACTTAAAGAACGAACCACGTGGAAGACCGTCCACACAGGTAAATAAAGCTGAATTGAAAGAGATGGTGAAAGTCGATCCGAGTCAAACTACCCAGGAATTAGCGGCATAGTTTCTACGTAATAAAAATTTTCTTCCCAGGGAGGCAGTAAAAAATACTTTCGCACAGTTTGTCTATATCCCCAGAGTTCTATCGTAAAGGCATAGATGAACTTCCGTTCAGATGGCAACAATGTATAGGTAATATTTTGATTAAATAAACATGTAACATCTCAGAAAAGTTTCAGCTTATCAGTACAAATCGGCAATTTCATACTTTAACCCCTAATATATATATTTATATAAACCAGAACATAAATATTTGTTTGTACGCTTTGAAAAAAAAAACTCTAATTTTGAGGAACCACTTCAAAGATTGTTTTTATCTATTTTTCGGGTCAGTTTTGTTTCTAATTGCCCCTCAATGCAAACACATTGTTCAACAGTGAAGCGTAACATCAGCTAGTCTATTATAAAATAGCTATTTAAATCAAAAAAACAATAGTAAGCTGCTATGCTACTAATACATGTTCAACGTATTCGTAGATAACCGCTGTTGGTCCTGCCTTACAACATCTACAGCAGTAGAAGTATTGGTGCAATTAGTTTCAGCTATGGACAATTATTCATATCTCAATGTTGCATTATCAATAACGTAACGATGACGTCTGCTTTTAGATTATACTTTACGGGTTAGTTGGATACGGTGTTCATTAATATTATTAGAATAGCAAGCTACAAATAACAAAATGTAAAAGATGTCATCACGGAATCCATCAAACTTGGTCGTGTTTTGTGTTCAAAAATAGGTGCGTAAAGAGGAAAAAACGTCGTAATCGACGTTTATGTTTTCGCAGGAATCGAAATGGAAAACCATTAAAAGTCGTTAAAAGCTGTATTTATACTGATGACGCCTATATAAAATGCTTCATCAGTTTTTTTAAATACTTATCTACTTATAAATATGTACTTGTTACCTCAAATTTGTCCCCTCGCTTAACAGTTACAAGTACATGCGCTAAATTTCAATAGGAGGACACAGGAGGCGGTGACGGCAACAGGTTTCCAATATTAAATGTATTAATCGAGCACTTTTGTAAAGGCTATCATCAAATTGCAGTTGGTTCTTTCCGCACGTCTCAAGAAAAGAAGCAGACAAACTACTGCTAGCTGATAGCAATCCCCGAGGAACGTTTCTAGTCAGGCCTGCAGAACACAATCCTCATGGCTTCAGCCTTAGTGTGAAAGATTGGGAGGAGGGAAGAGGCTACCATGTGAAGCATTACAAGATTAAACCGCTGGATAATGGAGGGTTCTATATCGCGACCAATCAGACCTTCCCCAGCTTACCTGCTCTCGTGATGTCGTATACGAGTAAGTTTCTATGTTGATTTAATTCTTAAGAAAGTGTATCCACCGCTGACTAGGTACGTACCTAGCATTATCATAGGTATTTTGTTGAAATTTTATCGATTTTAAAATGGTTCAATAATCTTGCTGTTTGGCTCTATATAAAATACTAGCGATCCGCCCCGGCTTCGCACGGGTTTAATGTAGATACTACTATGTGATGTTAGTGTGAAGTAATTAATTATACTATTATTATGATAGGACTATATTACAGGACATCTTTATATGCAATATTTATAGGCCCGCTCCGATCCTGCCGCTTTTATTTAAAATAGTCATTTTAATATGCTGTAATGAGCAATTTTAATCTAATCTATATTGAATGCATAACGTATCTAACTTATTTAATTGGATATTAAAAAATCATGTATTGTTTAAAGTGATTTAAACAAATCACTTCGTAAATAATCCATTTTTTTTTTATATTTAAAAGATAAAAATGGTTACTGTGGGTTATCCTTAGGACATATACCATCGCGGACTTTTTTGTAGATCTTTTTAAGACATGCAATTCCGTAGCACAATTTTTTGGTCCATCTTGTAAGGGTTAGCCAGTGTTTGCAATGTAAGTACGCAAAACCATGTTTTTTAAAACAAATCTTTGAAATTCTTGGATTTTCTCTACTATAATATGCATGCATCATACATATATAAACCTTCCTCTTGAACCATTCTCTCTATTGATATAAACCGCATTAAAATCCGTTGCTTAGTTAAAAGGATCTAAGAGTTACAACACAAAAATGTACTATGTAAAGATACCTACTCCGAAATAATAATAATGATATTGAAAAACTTTACACAATAATATCTAAATCTTAGTTAGACATTCAGACTTATTGTTTTGTGTTAGAAAAAAAACTATTATGTTCAAATTTGGTATAAACAAAGCAGTAATTAGGCATAATACCTCCAAGTACATATTTTTAGTCAACGACTTAATGAGATATCCGACGTATGGGGAAATTCCACTGTTTTAATATACCAATGTATTTAGCATTATATGATTTTGTTAGACATGCGGCAGCTGTAAGAAAATGATATAAGATCGTGGTTGAATTGTGTTTTATTCTGCTCTGTTTAGTGGGGATAGGGTTTGCTATGAAAAATTACCATTACTGTTTTACAAATCTAAAGCAAATCTCATGCGTTACAGTTCCAAAACACTACCTACTTATAAATATGTATGTATAAATTTTACTGTGCTGTACTGTACTGTACTGTGCCTAGCAAATAACTTGTTAATGGAATGATTTTTAATTTGATTGAACACATATCTTATGCAACAATCTATGTGATTGTTGCAATAGATATATGTGTGCTATACACATAGAAATTAAAAATCTAAATTGTAATCATTTAAGTCATTCCACTTATTACAGGTCCTTGACATTTGATCATTACAGCAATATATATTCACTCATACCAATTTGCCTAGTATTATCTAAATAAAAGATACTGATGTATTTCAGAAAACGCGTTAGGTCTGTGCCACGTGTTAGCGCGGCCTTGCCCAAAGCCTGAGCCGCAGATGTGGGACCTGGGACCAGAGCTCAGGGATCAGTGGGAGATCCCAAGGTCTGAAATACAGCTGATACGAAAACTCGGACAGGGGAACTTCGGAGAAGTGTATTATGGCAAATGGCGGAACAATATCGAGGTAACTATTTCACTTCTAAGACGAAAGATACAATAATACAATTCGTTTTCTAATTTGAAGATACATACGTGTCTTTTTTTAATAAATATTTTTAACAGACTTCATAAACACAAAAGAGGAGGTTATCAATTCGTCTGTATTTTTTTAAGTCAACGCTTAAAATTTATCAATGGATCCGAACTCATCTGATGCCATAAAGTTCTTCCAGTAGTACAATAATTATATAATCCCCTCTTTAAATTGCAGGTCGCTGTGAAAACTCTAAGGGAAGGCACCATGTCAACCCAAGCGTTCCTCCAAGAGGCAGCCATTATGAAAAAGTTCCGCCACAAACGTCTCGTAGCCTTGTACGCGGTTTGTTCACACCAGGAACCTGTATACATCGTCCAAGAATACATGAGCAAAGGATCCTTGTTAGAATTTCTCAGAAATGGTGAAGGGAAATTCCTACAATTCGAGGATCTTGTCTATATCGCAGCTCAAGTAGCGTCCGGCATGGAGTACTTAGAATCTAAAATGTTGATACACAGAGACTTAGCAGCTAGAAACGTTTTAATAGGTGAAAATAACGTAGCGAAAATATGCGATTTCGGACTCGCGAGGGTCATCGAGGACAACGAATACTGCCCGAAACAAGGCTCACGGTTCCCTGTTAAATGGACCGCACCCGAAGCTATTATATACGGAAAGTTCTCGATCAAGAGCGACGTATGGTCCTACGGCATTTTGTTAATGGAATTATTCACATACGGACAGATACCTTATCCAGGACTTCACGGTAAAGACGTAATCGAGCAAGTCGAAAGAGGATACCGAATGCCGAAGCCAGTAGGACATTGTCTACCTGACGACATCTACAGGCTCATGCTCCAATGCTGGGACGCGATACCAGAGAAAAGACCAACGTTTGACTTCCTGAACCACTATTTCGAATCGTTCACAGTGACCAGTGAGATACCTTACAGAGAAGTGCAAGACTAGTGCTGTGATATAGTGAAATAGTTTATACGTGCGTGAGAGACGATGTGTAGGGTCCTCTTAGCAAATGTTTGGACTTATAATTTGTGTGTGGCTCGTGCTCGGCTCGGATGTATAGTGTATGGCGCCTGCCCACACACTGTTATAACGCCACTTTTAGTATTTTTATACTCAAAAAGCATTACTTAACTAAAACAATACAGGAATGTGTGAGCTTCTTTTTAAATCGTCGACGGCTTTCCTTTCCTTTGTAAGTCTAAAATTGATACGAAAATAACTTAGCTTAAGTCAATACGAACACAGAAACTGATCTACGAAGTAAGTCCACTAAAATAAACTTAAGTATTTATAGGAAGGCTACTTACTATTCACTTTATTATTATTTATGTAGCTTATAAGCACTGGTAGTGTTGTTTTGCATTTTGTACAAACTAAATCGTTCACTATGATATAAGCAATAAGGTTTATAACAAAATGTAATACGATATTTTCATATTCTAAAGCGATATGTGATATGTTTGTTATCACTTAAGGCCTGACACGAACTAAGCTAAGCTCTAGACCGCAGTCTCTGTAGTCACGAAGTGAAGCTTTGATAGCAGAAGCACAATTCCGATGTTATTCTTATTTTGCGTACAAATTCCTACCTTCGATTGTGACAGATACACTACTGATAGGCTCCTTTGCAATTAGATATTATTATATACATGAAAGTATGAATAACATTTTAGTTTCGTCGTGTGAAGCTCCCGTTTAAAAATGAATAGATTTAACTGACTTGTGATAACTGTGCTCAATGTTTCTCCACAGATTTGCAAAGGGGCTAACATCCCTCATGTAAAAAGACAAATAATATTAGCTTTAGGACCATATACCAAAGAGTTAATTGTACATTAAGAACGAATGATGTAGAGAGATGCGTATTTAATTTATAGCATAGTTAGACCTTGTGACCTGTATAATGTTAATTAATTTGACCAATATTCCCAATTTCGACACGTGTATTAACCTAAAAAATATCGTAAATAATTGTGTTAATATCGGCTGATAATTGATCGTTCTTTATAACAAAATTTTACCTAATATTTATTTTACTTCGCCTCAAAAGTATATAAAAAAATGCTTTAACAAATTAATCGTTTTGTCGTCCTAGAAAATGTATAAAGCCAATGAAAATAGTGTCTTAAATAACATTCCAAATATTCAATCTCGTTAAATTTGGACACTTTTGTATGAAAACGTTTAGATTTTTAAGATTTTGTACATACAATGAAATAAATGTCATTGATATAAACAATGTATTTTACTTACAATTTAGTTTAACAATTACATACTATATAATAATTACATACCATTTATCACTTAAAACATTTTTTGTGGTACTATACCACAAAAAAATATTTAATCTAATTTATAGTTACTTTATATATCATCTTTTACAAGTTGCATCCCTGTGGTGACAGACTGTGACCACCCCTATTCATCCGCGTTCAACAACAACACTGCAAAAAGAAGGAAAACTTGACACAAACCCAACCCAGCGTGGTATAGTAGGCCAAAACCTCCTTTCTTAGGAGAGGCCTATGTCAAACAGTGGACTATTAAAGAAAGATGATGAATACAAATACTGATAGTGTATTACTATAATTTCCTATTTTACTTTACTTTCTTTTACCCAAAGTTAAAAGAGGTTCTCATTCTACCCCTGTACTAATATTCACAATATTAGTAAGTAAGGGTTTTCTCTATTACAATTATTCTTTAATTTATATAAAATAATTTCTTATGCGACATTGTCTTCACAGTAAGGTGTGCAGAAAATTCTTGACGTGACGATTACTGTTATGTTGCAATTACCATAGTTAACTATCTTTATAACCAACTAGTTAATTGTAAATCTCCAATATTACTCACTAAATAAATACAATCACAGTTATTGTGTGCAGTAATTATAATCTAATCTAACACGAATATAATTATTGAATAAAGTACAGATTCGTGGGAGAATCTTTTAAAATCATTCTCTTACTAATCCATATAACATAGATAAATATAAAAAAATATTCTAAAATTTCGTTTATTTTAAGTTCATAAATTTTAAATATTTTTATTACATTAAATCATTGGAAGCATACTTTTAGTATTAAATAACTCGAAATTATAAATAACATTATACATCTAACATTTGCACTCATGTTTAAAATCATTTCTTAATATATAAATTTTCAATTGTCAAAAAACTACTGTTTTTAAACTCTAAATTCTTATACAGGATACAGCTCTTCGTCCTAATAATAGCAACTTTACCAAACTCATAAAAAAAATAGGTAAAATTAACTAGACCGTGTCAGAGTACACCTTGCTCTTTATCCTTAGATATTTATACTCCGACTCGTACATAGCACTTATATAATACCAACATTGCAATATAACAGCTGGCACATAATTGGGATGTTTCTTGCTGTAGTGGTTCAGGTATATTGCTAACACGACAAGCATACCTGACCACGCGTATCTGTAAAGGAAAAACCAGCCGATTAGCTTTGAATTATTGATATGCTTTACTTAAAAATCCTATAGGTAATGCAAGGAATTATTTGTTTCTTTCTACCCAGAAAGAAACAACCATACAAATTTTATCAAAAAGGAGAAGTTATCTTTGAGGATTGGTTGTCGATTAAGATAATTTTCCTCAGGTAGATGAACATTTCTGTACAAACCCGGACTTTACATCAACATTTTTAAATTTGATATCAATAGATGTCAACCTTTGCTAAACTTGAAAGCTCATTATAATCAGTTTTATTTTAAGGTTTCTGTTTTTAAATTACACAATTTTTGTTTTATCTATCTACACATATTTTCAAATTGCTAAATACTTACTGGAAGACAAACGGCTTGCTAAATAGCAAGAAGGACAATATAATAGACAGCGCCTTCCTGAATGTGGTGACTGTGACAGCGACGGTCGCGCCGCATATTCGGACCAGCGTCAATACCGCCTGCAGACCTATGTACCCACTCAGGCTGAGCAGGAATATATTGCCGTATACAACTAAAGGATTCTGAAAATTAAGTATATGGTGTAAAATTTTATCTTTCTTTACTTTACTGTACTATTACTGAATAGAGACGCGTCGTGAAGTATTTTATAATAAGTAATTTACTGTGGCAGTATGTTTAGTTCACATTTTTATAATAAAGTCGTCTGAGATGTCAACTTACTTTGTGGTTTTTCTTTTAAAAAGAAAGGTATTAAGGTTTTTTTGATAGATAGATGACCTTTAAGTAGAGCATACCAAACTTGAGCGAGGATCGGACAATTTAGTAAGAAACTATTATGTATCAATCTTATATTAAACTAGCGATCCGCCCCGGCTTCGCACGGGTGCAATGTAGATACTACTAATGTTACTAATGTGGTGTCAGTGTGGAGTAATTAATTATACTATTATTATGATAGGACATCTTTAAATGCAATATTTTGGGCCCTCTGCGACCCTGACGGCCGCCATCGAGCCGTACGTCCGTCCCGAGTGGCAACCCGGACGGACGTACGGCTCGATGGCCGTTGGGTCCCCGCATTTTAAACCTCTAATATCTTCTAAAACATTCATTTTAATGATATGTTGTACAGAGCAATTTTAAATGCACAACGTATCTAACGTATTTAATTGGATAAAGAATAATAATGTATTGTTTAAATAGCTTCGTAAATAACCTATATTTTTTGTAATATTTAAAAGATAAAAATGGTTACTGTGGGTTATCGTTCGGAGATAGACATATACTATTGATGACTTTTTATAGATCTTTTTAGATATCCAATTCCGTAGTACATTATTTTGGTCTATCTCGTGAGATTTAGCCAGCATTTGCAATGTAAGCGCACAAAAACATGTTATTTACGACAAATCTTAGAAATTCTCGGATTTCCTCTACTCTAATATGCATGTATTATACATATAAACTTTCCTCTTGAACCATTCTCTCTATTGATGAAAACCGCATTAAAATCAGTTGCTTAGTTTAAAAGATCTAAGTGTACAACACAAAAAAGCGATTTTATTTTATACTATGTAAAGATTTCACTAAAAGAAAAACAATGGTAAGAAAAAGTATATTTTTGTATTTTGCAGATTTTTCTTTGCTTCGGACGGGTATTTTAATAGTTAGTTTCAACAGGTAATCACTACTCACAAAATATTGAGAACAGTCGTACAATGCCAAACTATACGTATTTATCTACCTTAAGTATTTTTACCCTCACGGGTTAGAAAATGGCTCATAAAAGTTTTCAAAACTCTACTTACCTCAGAACAAAACATGAAACCATCCAACAATATCCCACTTGTAGCAGTTATGAACAATAAATATATACTGCCAATAGCGTAAGAATAGAAGACTACTTCGTTGTTGCTAGCCTGGTACTGTTTCATAGCTTTCTCTTGGACGTTGCCAATAATGGCATCACATAGTAACGCTATTGATATCACGATGACACCTACGAAATCGAAGTTTGGTGAGACTTTTGAGTCCGCTGAAACAGAAAATCGTCTTTGTAAAGCGTCGTCAGGCTCTTAGAGAACTCTAAAAATGATTGGACCTGTAATTGAAACTGATTTTCTAGGGTATCGGGTATCATCACAATCATCCTATAATTTTCTTCTGAGCCAGGGATCAGGGGGACTTTCACAACTGAGGGTTTAGTGTTTATTTTCCATCAACTCGATCGTCAAGGTGTTCGCGTTCGGTGTTGCGGTTGGTTGACATTTAAATCTTCACCGAGTTGAAGTGAAATAAACTCACACTTGGGCCTCTGAACATATTCCTCATTCCTAAGAGTTGTAAGATGACTAAACATGTGTAGACAGTATCTCTACTTTCTTGTGCGCAACCTCCTCTATTTTCTTGTGCGCAACCTCAAGAACGCAATCACCATGGTACCTCAACGAGCATCCATGCCTAGACGTGCTTATAGCCTTACTACAATTCGTAACATATTAGTCTCCGTTATTTTATAATTACTATTAGAAAAAGCTTACCCAACGTGAACATTGTTAGTCCCACACACATGACAACGGCTGCAACGTAGTCCAGAAAGCCGTATTTCTTACCCATAATAATAATACTGCCTATCATCACTGGCAAAAGTTTGCAGCTCTTGAAGATAAGTTGTGTTGGATAATTCAAATAGCTCAGAGCTAAATTTGAGAGCGACATTGTGCCCAGGGTCAAGGCGGCCAATATTGCATAGGTCCATATTGGGACTCTGAAAGACGCCCATGAAAATTACTCATTACTACTAAATCCATTTGTGTTGGTGGGATACACAAAATATTCGTCAATCAATACAACTCCTAGATTCTTTAAATTTATCTGTTCATTTAAAGTTTTATATAATAAATCAATCAAATGGATTGATATCTATATTACGTAACACTGATCTCAACTAATCGGATGTGCAATTGACCTCCTTAGGAATAAAGTTTCTAAGCGGAAACAGATAAAACAGAAACGATAGTGCGACGTGTTTCGCGAAACTATTTTTACTGTTCGCTCGCAAGACTTACATGACTTAGGCTTGTATAAGGACCAGGGATTTCATTTCTATTATTACATGTCCAAAGAGAAAAGCGTTAGGGGGTATTCAAATGGCGGGAACGAACTTGCGTCTCTTGATTTGTATGTGCCCATGGGCGGTGGTAGTCACTTACCATCAGGCAACGAACAGATGGGTTACGATCCGTGTGAAGCTGTGCCCGTGATCTTGTGCGACATTGTTTAGACCAGGGATTCCCAAAGTTTTCGATACGACCCCTTAGGGTCGAAATCGGTTTCCCAGGGGTCGACATAAACGAAAACTGATTTTGGGGGTCGGCGAGTTCTAAAAATCGACCCCTTTTAATTAACACAAGTTCTTATTTGAAACTTTCAAGATACTGTATTAGTTGTGGTACGTGTATCAACTTGTTATAAGAAATACTAATATTTAATAGGCATTATCATTGTAGTACTTTAAAAAAAACTGAACAAGCCGATAGTAATAATTTGGTTATTGAAGTAATTTGCTTATGGGATTCTGAGGTATCAGTTCATTATAGGAGAGGGGTCTCCTGCCCGATATAGTTTGGGAATCCCTGGTTTAGACCATTAAAAAACTGGACTATAGAAACACCCTAACAGCGAACGTATAGATTATTACTGAACATCAATAGAACAAAATTAAAAGTTAAGATAAAATGGACAAGAGCTAGTATGACTCGCGTACTGAGGTCCCATAGATAATAATAAAAAAAAGAAAAAAAAACGTTCAACATAAGCACTAATCCTTAAATGTTCACCTATGTGTATGGTTGTCTGCAAGTTTATTACCATAACTACTTAAAGCCTGGACAGATTTGGATGTATGTTCATCACATTATTATTAGAATTCTTACACGATCCCATCCCGAGTGACACTGAATACAATCAGGGCAATAATTTATCTTTTTTAAATTAATTCGTATCTTGGTTTCCCTTTTTTCAAATATGACTTTGTAAAGATATTCACTTTTATTATAAATGTGAAAGTGAGTTTGTTTGTTTGTTACACTTTTACGCCTTAACCACTAAACCGATTTTAGAAACACTTTCACCGATAAAAAGCTACATTATCAGCGAGTAACATAGGCTACTTTGTACAGCGATAACTAACAAGCTAGTTATTAGATAAAGATAGATAGAAAGAAACATTCCTGTAAATAAGAATGCACTATACACTTATAAATATATGAAATAGAGGCATGTGCATACACTTAACAATCGAAGTTCTAAGCAGTATAAAATTACGTAAAATACTCACTTTCGTTTTATTGGACTTCTTATCAACGATTCAGTATAACTCAGGACCGTAGTGATTATAAACTGAATTAATGTTATGTATAGGCTAACTGGCTTAATAGCAGCATTTGAAAATACCAATTCTAAGAAATATCCATAAGATAAATAGCATACGAAGACAAACAATGAACATATAAGGAACTGCTTGATTAGGCTGTAACCAGTTATGTTAAAACATAATACATTTATCTCTGCATTGTCTGTTCTTTGACTTGTTCTGCTACCTGGAACGTCAATACGGATTATGGTGTCTTGTAGCTGACTCATCTTTATCACAAATCTGTTATTCACTCAAACTCATAATGCTTTGTAGCTTTGTTGAGTTAGAACTGAAATAAAAAAACAGGTTTATTTTAACGACAGCAGTTAATCATTGAATTATTTTTGTAAAATAAATTTAATAATGTCTCAAATTTATGTTTATATTTAAAGTGCTTTACAAAACCATCCCTTCAAATGACGATGAAGAACACTTTAGACTAATTATATTAATAAAATATATTATAGTTAATAATACTATCCCAGTTTGTCAAATTTAAACATGTAAACTTGCTAAATTTCAATCAAGCAATCATTAGAGGAATTTAAATTCAGGAGATGCATGTTTTTATAAATATGATTTAACTGTATCTGGAATAATCTTCCAAACTTCGCATATACCCCACTGCGTTAATCAGTCACCCCTTACACCACAACCAACACGCATACTCAATGGGAAAATCAACAGAATCCGCTCCACATCGAGTTGTATCACATATAGAAGGTAATCTAAAACCACCTTTATCGATAACGCGGGTGCCTTTGACGAACCCAATTTCACGAGCATTAGCCAATCTCTGTCTAGACATGTTGATTCCACAATCTCTTGGTGGATCGACAACATGCTAAGATATAGAGCTATTCAATTTACTGTGAGTGAAATGACTAGAGGGGTGGTGGCTAGAGGATGCCCTCAGGGCGGTGTACTCTCCCCCTCTTCTATGGAACATTGTTGTGGATGAACTCATCACACAACTCAATGACCATACATTCCTAACAATAGTAGCCTATTTAATAGCCTAGTAATAGTAGCCTATGTAGATGATCTGACCATCCTCATCAGTGGTCCCTTTGAGAGCGTTACATGCGATCAAATGAGACTTGCACTGAAGATCGTAGAACAGTGGTTTGTAACACACAACTTGTCAGTGAACCCATTGAAAATAGAGATGATTATGTTCACAAACAAACGTAGTCTAGTACAACAAACGTAGTAAATTTCGGACTGCCCAAGCTATTTGGAACGCAACTAGCTCTTAACAAAGACGTCAAATACCTTGGAGTAATACTGGACAGTAGACTCCTTTGGAATAAGCACCTCGATGAAAAACTAAACAAAGCCTTGATTGTTTTCTGCCAATGCAAATGGCTACTCGGCAAAAGCTGGGGACTATCACCAAAGATCACACTATGGCTCTATAGAACAGTCATAAGACCAATTATCACTTACGGTGCTATTATCTGGTGGCAGAGAACCGAGCTAAGCACCGGATCAATTAGTGGAATACGAATCACTAATAGCAGCCCCATGCAATAGAATCCCAAAACACAATATCTTCACAAAAAGATACCAGATTTTAAATACAAGAAAATGACCGAAATCAATCCAGAATTAAGGAAGTACGAATTTGCACGGACGGTTCCAAGACTATGGCAGGAACGGGGGCAGGAGTTTTCTCGCAGGACCTAAATATGAACATATCACTAGCAATAGGCCAACACAGTTCCATATTTCAATGCGAATGTGTGGCAATAACTTACGCCGCCACAACGGCATGTAAAGGGGTATTAAGGATCTGACATCTGAATACTAACCGACAGCATGGCCGTCCTAAAGGCATTCGAGGGCAACACAATGACCTCTGGTGTAGTCTTCGAATGCCATCAAACAGTGGAGCACCTTGCTAAATTAAATGAGGTACTCCTCCAATGGATTACAGGGCACACTTTTTCTCGGAACGACGCCGCAGTTGAGTTGGCAAGGAGGGGCTCGGCAACCCCGGCTACCGGCCCAACCATACTCCTGCCACTACCGTTCAACCAACTGCGATTCTGGGCCAGGCAACGGACTCGTGAAGCACTAGCAGACTAGACATCCGAATAGTTGTAGGACCTATATCAGGACACCTAGCCCTGAACTGACCACCATTCACCATTAATGCGACGGACAGTCCTCTTTGCAGAGGATGTCTAAAGGCACAAGAAACGGCCGCCCACGTAATACGGGAATGCGAGGGAGTGGCCACACAACAGGCAAATATCATTCCTGATACAAAATCGCTCCTATAAGCCTGTGAAAGCCCCAGGAGGCTTCTGCGCTTCTGGAAAGAGCTTGGTTGGCTCACCTAGCCAACCTGTCCTCGACGTATAAAGGACCACTCTTGAGTCTTAACCGGAAACCGGAGCCCACAACCATTACCAATACCAAAAATACCCCATAAAAGAAAATAGCTTATCAGCTATCTAGTATAGTAACATATTAATTAATAGATAAATGCACCTTAGTAGCAACTACCTAAAGATAGGTTTGGGTTGCAAGCTAATTCTAAACAACATTTCTATCATTAAATAATACCTGGTACCCTTGTAATGCTGGTGTCAAAATATTTTTATATAAGTGTTTTTAAAATAAGCATTGCTAGCATTATCAAAAGACTTAACAATAAATAGATAACATATTTATTGTTCAGACAGGAAGCAGATATAGAACCCATGTGAATTAAAAAAGGTTGTTTGATGGGAAAGATTGATAAAACATATATAAATATATATCTGATAAATGAGATAAACAAACATAGAAAACACATTTTTCATATTACTGTTTTGAGATAACCATTCTGAGAACATAGTCATAGTCATTTATTCATCAACAAATTACATTGTATTTGAAATATAATAATTAATAAAATAATGCTAATACTATTTAAACAAAAAAAAAACATAATTGTGTCATCATTAGCTATCATTCCTTCAATATCATTAGCATTTTGAAACAGTCATTTTAATAGAATAGTAATAATGAAAAAATGTTTAAAGAATATAATGTCACTGGTTATCATACATATACATATTTTGGATAATTTAATTCAGATAAATTCACTCTCTTGTTACAATTCATCAATAGCATAAAGGCATTTGTCCAAAAGGAAAGCTTTTAATTTTATTTTAGAGGAACCTGCATCTAACGCCTTCTTTGTATCCTCGGGCAACCTATTATACAGCTGTACTGCTTGATATCTAGCGTTGTGTTTTACAACATTTAATTGGGGATTAATTATGTGGATTATTTTTTCTACATGTCTCTTCCTTTAGCTTAGCTTTTTGCTACTAAGGTGCATTTATCTTAGCTTTTCAACAACATTTTAACTGTGCCAATAGTAATTCCACTTGAAATAAATAAATCAAAATAATCTTCTATTTATTATGTAATAAATTTATTTATTTGGTTTTCAAGTGCAAGGGTGGATCAATGAAAAATGTGTTCAAAGATCCATCCAAATTAGAATTATTTTATCAAAATTTATTTTATAAAAACGAATCTAAAAATATATTTATTTTAAATTGTTTCTTTTTTTTGTTAGCACAGTGAAAGTGGAAGAATATACCAACATAAAATTATTTTCTTTATTTAAAAATGGTTTACAATTAAAATATTGTGTTTTATGGGCCTCTAAAACCTTAAGCAAATAAAAACATACCTTCTAATACGAAGTATAAAGTAATTTATCATAACGTATAATTGTGTTACTGTAAACCAGTATTTCACAAATGTGATCACTGGAGTTTTAGTAGAAATGACAAATGTAGTGCTATGATATCAATAAATAATTCATAATTGTTTGAATGATCTGATTTCGGCAAAGTGCACAATTTAAAGATACAAACTACACTGCAAACATTAATTACAAAAATAAAAATTAGAAGTTCGCTGATGAAATTCAAACTAAGAAGTTATTTGTAATTTTGTAACCGGAAAAAATAAACCATACGCACCTTATTGCAGTTAAGTAAGAGAATCTTAGTTACACAGTACATGTTGAAAATATAAATAAATTGGATAATAACATGTCAACAAATAACCAATCCTTTAAATCCACGATTCATAAATATAGAAATAGACAACGAGAAGAAATGTGTCAATGTCACTGTCACTTTATAAATTTCTTTTTTTAAGAACCTGTAGATATCCACTGTATTTCTGGATGTGAGCATAGAACATAGACTATTTCCGAAAATAGGCTTCAATATTCATAAAATCTAAGAAACAGCAGAAAATTTCTCTATCCCATTATGCATTTTAAAGAAGGTGTAAAGGGACGAGTAACATGTCCCTCCAACACAAAGGGAGGATCCTCCAATAAGCCGAAGTGATCATGCCTGACGGTTAATGTTGGGAAGATGTGTGTATGCTAATCGGCGAGAAAATTATTCATATATCAAGATTAGCATTGACTCCGTAGTTGGGAGTGTCTTTGGTAGATGGTCATGTAGTATGTTTCTTCGTTTCACCTTACATAAATGGAAGTCGCCTCAAGGGGTTTCATAGCAGGGTAAAACGAATGACGAATATAACACAAAAATAACTCAAACTCAAAACATCTTTATTTAAAAATAACAATTAAAAATCATTTGAATCGTGTTTGTTATTAAATACATAACAACATTGTTTTGATGTGTGACATGTGTACGTCAGTATGCCATTTAGTAAGGACTAAAAGCAATGAAAAGAAAACAAGATAAAGAAAAACATAGAATAAAATTGAAAAGTAAGTAAAATTGAAAAAATTGAAAAGAAAATAATAAAAAAAAACTAGTTGTCTTGCAGTTGGAAATCCGTGATACCCCGACCGACTCTGAGTCATCTAGGCCTTACAGGAAGCCCCACGGTTTCCCTTCCCTTCCTTTAAAGGTGCTTCAGAACGCATTGCGTCTCCACCTGACACCCCCAGGCCTGCGCGTATCAAGGACGGAGATCATTCAGCGACCTCCGGCGCTTGAGCCGCTTCTGATACCTGGTCCGTTCCCAGGCCTGGCGCGCCGGGAGTGGGCCCCTCCCGGTCCCGTAGGAGGAAAAGTTATCGTGAGGGGCCCCTTTTCGTCCTATCTTAAGGAGTTAGCAGAGTTCTAAGCGCGCGCTGCTCCACACACGCCGGGCAATTTGCAAGCGTGGGAAGCTTCGTGTTCACGCTCTGGCCATCGCAGTGGCTCTTTGCGGATCAGACACAAGTGATTTATAAAGCATCAATCATCATCGCCCGATTTGAGATATTTGGAAATCTCCCGTAGGTACGCGTCTAGAGTGCTTTTATTCGAAGCTTATAAAACGTTTGCATTTATTTTCGTACACCGATCAATTGATGTTACTAGTATGACATAATAAAAACATTTTAGTCATGTACATTTTGCAAATGCATTCCATTTCTGTTCTTGCCGTCCGCCGCCTTGAAAATGCCGTTCATGTGCGGTGCACGCTCTGCACTCCCGCAGCCAGCGGCCCTAGTGGAGAATATTTATTTAAGTACTTTATTAGGTTCTTACTGTTCTCAAATTATAATTTTATTTTAATAATTAATAACCTACTATTCACTATAGCTTTCTCAGGTCTAGTCAGGCAATAACAGCAGATGTTTACTGTACCGAATTTCGAAGAATGATGGTAAAACTGGCAGTGAAACAGCCCCGACTCATGAATCGATCTTCATCATTATTGCTCCATACATTTATGCTGATCATACAGATAATCTTTTTTTTTTCTCTGCTGCATCATCTTCTAACCCCTTTTTCAATTTTACTTAGGGTCGGTGCAGTGAGTTATATTCTTCCATTCTCCGCTATCACTAGTCAGTTCACTGCTTACGGGAGTAGAAAGGAATTTTTAGCAATATTCTATTCAACGCAGTCCATCCATCTTTTCTTTGGTCGTCTTCCACTCTTATATCCCTACATTTTTGCTGTGCTGCTGATATAAAAAAAATTTCGTTTCTTTTTCACATGCCTGAAGTCGAGGACAACAGGTAGTTAAAAACTAAATTCAACAAACCTCCTTTCACCTTTGCTGACTGTATGTCTGAAATAATGTTATTTGGAAAATACATATTTTGAGTATCAGTTAGTTAACAATAAATAATGTATTATTTTTTAATACTCAAGTAGGTTTTAAACGGTTATGCATAAACATTGATACTAATATTACGATGGATTAATATTTTATGAAGGTATACTTTGTGATATCTCAAGTCTCAGCTGATTGCAAGTTTATAGTAAATTTGTATGCCAAAGTTCTGGCAACACTTTTTGATATGACTTTCTTGTAAAGTCTGGTTGTCAAACAAAGAGAAAATACATATTTTTTCTAAAATCTATCCTATTTTGTGTTGTCTAACAGTTAAACTAGTCAGGGTGTGTAATTTTAATAATTTAATTGTGTTAACAGTGTTGTGTAGATTTACTTTGATCTATAATCCGGTGATAACTTTCGCAGATCGCATAATCAACTAGACAAACTGGATTGAAGATAATGATGGATTCGGACTCGTCCGGCGCGGACTTCTGCCGGTTTTGTCGCTCGGAGGCATCCTCCGACCGGCCGCTGTTTCATCCATGTATATGCACCGGTTCAATTAAATGGATCCACCAGGAGTGCTTAGTGCAATGGATGCGATACTCCAGAAAAGAGATATGCGAGTTATGTGGACACCGGTTTTCATTTATGCCTATATATTCTCCCGATATGCCGCGCAGGTTGCCGATCCGTGATGTTGTAGGTGGCCTCGTAACATCTGTCGCATCAGCGGTGAAGGATTGGCTACATTACACTCTAGTTGCTCTTGCCTGGCTTGGTATTGTGCCTCTAACCGCCTGCAGAACGTACCGATGTCTTTTCTCTGGGTCATTAGACCCTGTTATATCCCTACCATTCGACATTGTGTCAGCAGAAAACCTTGCCAAAGATGTATTTTCTGGATGTTTTGTTGTTACTTGTACACTGTTTTCATTTATTGGCCTTGTTTGGTTGAGAGAGCAAATTATGCATGGTGGTGGCCCTGACTGGATGGAAAGAGAAAATTTACCTGTGCCTCCACCAGAAGATATACCTCTACAAGATAATAATAATGAGAGAGTCAATGAAGGGGCAGTGGATGAAGCTGGGGCTGGCAGAGATGAGGTGAATGGTGAAGTGGGTGAAGATCCATTAGTTGGAGATGAAGCAAATTGGAATCCTATGGAATGGGATCGAGCTGCTGCTGAAGAATTGACATGGGCACGTCTGTTGGGCTTAGATGGTTCTATGGTGTTTCTAGAGCATGTGTTTTGGGTGGTATCACTGAACACATTGTTCATAGTAGTGTTTGCATTTTGCCCATATCATATAGGAAGATTGGGAGCTGCTTTGGCAGGTCTCACTGCAGAAGGCCCCTTTGCTGGGCCATTGACTGCACTGGCAGGATATGTGCTTGTTGGAGCAATACTGGCAGTATTACATGGAGTAGCATCTCTGCTTCGCCTGCGTAGTGCTAAAAAGGCACTTGGATTTTGCTATGTGGTTGTGAAAGTGGCATTACTCTCAGTTGTAGAGGTAAGTCATTGTTTCAGAATATTTTTTGTTAATATCTGATTAATGAAGTAGTGCTTACAAATAAATGTGACTATTATATTAAGAATGGTTAAGAATTTAATGGTTACAACCTTACTTGTCACCAAGAAAAATGCAATTCTGCATTTGAAATAAATACCAGTAATGAACCACCTATTATAATCTACCTTACTGGTATTGGTAAAGATTATAAGTATCATAGATGAAGCTAACAAAAATATTAAAATTATTGACAAATACAATAAAGGGCAAATTGAGTGGGAATTGAGTGGAGTGGAAATCGGAGCCCCCCACCAATATGAATAGCCCATTTATCGCAGAAGGCTATAGCCTATACAACATAATGCTACAACCCATAGAATCTTCAATAAAAAGTGTTGCATACATGGAGAAAAATTATTCCTTTTGAGAGATGCAGATGAATTTGCACAGGTCATCTAGTTAAACATAATGATAAAATGAATTCATACCAATATAAATGCACAAGTGTGTGTGTGTCTGTATGCTACCTCGTCACGCTTAAACGGGTGAACCAATTTAAATGAAATTTGGTATAGAGATAGTTTGAGTCCCGAGAAAGGACATAGGATAGTTTTTATCTTAGAAATCATCCTTTAAGGGGGTGAAAAGGGGGTAGAAGCTTGTCTGGGGAATCAATAACCGCTGTACCCATTAAGATGAAATTTTGTAGGGAGATAGTTCGATACGTAAGGAAGGACATAAGGTGCTTTTTACAGGAATAACTGACATACGCGCAGGCGGAGCCGTGGGCTAAAGCTAGTAATTAATATGTAAAACATTATTTATTATTCTTTATGAGAGGTACTCCATTTGTAAAAAGGTTTAATTAGGTACGTTAACACACATTTTAATGACATTAATAAATATCATACACCCATTCTCGTGTAAGGGTAATGGACTTTATGTAAGCCATACCATATGTATATAATATAGGCATAAATATGGAACTGTTAAAATATCGATTTCGGTTTACGGTTTTGCCTTTAATTGTCGTTTGTTAATTTTTTAATAAAGAAAGTATTTCGTAAATTATAGGATTTTACAGTATGTAGTGTAAAAGAGATATCCCAAGTTATCGGCAAATCAACTTTTCCATTTAAAAAACCTTACCATGTCTTCAAGTACCGTAGTATAGAGTTTCAAACAGTGCTGTAGTTATACATATGCATATTTCAAATCTAATGGCATACAAAAGCATCACATGTATACTTTTCATCTCGGATGTAAAATAATGTTTCTTTAAAAAAAAACATGTAAAATAAACAAATTTGGTCACGGGCCACCGCCAAATGGAAAAAAAAACGGTCAAATTAACACAGATGTATTAAATATTTAATAAAATAGTACTGATGAAGTACTCAACCATCGACTACAGTTTGTATGTAGATAAAACCATTTAAAATAATTCATACTCCTTATAAAGCATATTGTGTGCTTTTAGATAACATTTGCTTTTAATATTACCTTGAATTAAAAATGACCTCATTTACTTCACGCCGTTTGACTCGGTATATTGTACTTATTTTAATTTTTATTACAGTTTGCTAGATTAAAGTTCATTCATTGAATAAAGCCAATTACACTAACAAATTATCTGTTTTTGTATCTATTTTTTACCCTTTTTTTATTGTGTGATGTATGGTTGTTGGCCGCAGATGGCCTCGACAACGTTGCACGGGCTTTCGGTGAGCGCTGAGGGCTCACAACCGGTTATTTTTTATCCATCATGAAAAGGTACTACGTATAATTTGTTTCCCCTTAAGTTTATGTAAGTAGATTATTCTAGGCTTAGAAACAAAATATAAAGAATGTTGTCCCAGCAAAGGCTGTGTGTGCCCATCTTATCCAAAAACCGTAATTCTTCGATTATAGCTTAATTATTATCAAATGCTTTTGTCCAAGTTGAAAAATAACCAATGGTATTTGAAATTAAAGTAGGTACGGTATTGGTATTGTATTATACAATATTAATGAAGGTACGAACGATCTACATACGTAATCGTATACATTTGTGAGTGTACTAAACGACCTATCACGATGTCAAAGTTTATTGATACGTACGTACACCTCATGATGTCAAAGTTTATTGATACGGAGGGAGGGACTTCTGTGATTTTTTTAAAAACGAGAACAACAAGTACTTGAACGATTTATGTATGTAAAAGCCACAATTGTTTATGGTTTAACTTAGAGTTATTTGTTAAAAGTAATGAAGGCAGTATTTCATAATATATAATACACTAGCGATCCGCCCGGGCTTCGCACAGGTGCAATGTAGATACTACTAATGTGGTGTCAGTGTTGACTGTGGAGTAATTAATTATACTATTATTATGATAGGACTATATTACAGGGCATCTTTAAATGCAATATTTATAGGCCCTCCGACCTACCGGCCGCTGCCACCCGGGACGGACGTACGGCTCGACGGTCGTTGGGCCCCCGCATTTTAAAGTTCTAATAGCTAGATAAAGTGTAGCTTCGCAAATAACCCATTATTTTTTTTTGTAATATTTAAAAGATAAAAATAGTTATTGTAGCTTATCCTTAGGAGAAAGACATATACTATCGAGGACTTTTTAACTACCGAATTGTAAATTTTAAAAAGATCTTTTACAATATACAATTCCGTAGTTAATTTTTTGGTCTTTCTCGAAAGGTTTAGCCTGCGTTTGCAATGTAAGCGCACAAAAACATATTTTTACAACAAAACTTTGAAATTCTCCGATTTTCTCTACTATAATATGCATGTATTATACACACAAACCTTCCTCTTGAATCACTCTGTCTATTTGCATTAAAATCCGTTGCTTAGGTTAAAAGATCTAAGCGTACAACACAAAAAGCTACTTTATTTCATACTATGTAAAGATATATTCAATCGCTTACATCATAAAATTTGCATAGGCACATTCAAATGACAAAAGATTTACGTAAATCGGTTTTGTATTTTCGGATTATGATGGTAATAGTAGGGGAGCCCTAGAAGGAATTTCGGGATTTACTCGAACGTGACAGATTAACATAAGGACCTTACACCCAGTTGATTAAGGTAAGTTGAGTTAATTACATTCACATTAGTGAGTATTAAAACAAAATCAGACGATTTGAGCGTGACATAAAGCAGTTCATATCACAGTTCCAAAAAAATTACCTTTAGATTTTTTTTTGTAGCAAACTGCTAGGTATCTTTAAATGTCTACGTAACTTTTCATGCCTTTATTTGTCACATTTTATAAAAAATAAAAATATTCTAACCATCAGATTTAAAATACCCTGCAAAATTATCATCAGATTTTTGGCTAGTATGATAGATCTAACACGCTCGGGTATTTCGAAATATCGATTTTTCAAATTTGCAGTTTGCATTTTCGATAATTTGCTACGAGCTTGTGTCACTTTAAAATCGTCAGACCTTTCAATGGGAGCATTTTGGCATCAAAATAACATATCCCCAAAATATCTGATGCGCCCGAATATTTTTGTTTTCGATTTCTTCTCGATACATTTTTGAAAACCTACCGCTGAAAGTGGAAACATTACATAACTTTAATTCATTCCATTACCTAATCATTCAAATGCAATAGGTCCTCATGATGCTTGAGTAAATCCCCATTTAGCATGGGGTCCCCTTCTATAAAAGATATGAAAAAATTAGGCAATGAATGGAGAACTTCTTTCCCACTTTAAATAAAGACCTCATGTGTTATACTAAATTATGTATTTTAAAAAGTAAGTAGGTATGTATATTAAATAACTTTTCGTAATTAGACCTATTTATTTTTGATTAATTTAGGGACCTACTTGGTATAGAGGGGGTCTGGATGTTTTAATAAAAGCTGCTTCGGAATCCGGATCCGGATGCTACACCGTGTGGCTTTTGATTCCGGTACACCACGATAACCATGGATACCATTCACAAAGTGGTGATTGTTATTAATAAAATAATATAAAATTTTATTTCAAATTTTTTATTCACGCAGTATTTGACATGCTTAACATTTATAAAATATTAATGTTGTGCTATCTCGAACTCGTTTAAATCTGCAGCCCTCGTTACACCAACGACTGTCCATTATTTTTGTTACTTACTGTCGACTTGTACATTCAAGGTTGTCTGTGAGAAAAAAACCCAGAAAAAACGCGCATTGTGCATTTGTACTTTCCGTTTAATATAATTGTAATGACGTGAAATTAAGCATATTTCTATCTATTCTATAAAAATACCTATCCCGCTTGTAGGGCCAATTTTATTATTAACTGTAAAAACAAGATGTAAAACTCATGGTTAATATTTGAATGAAGAACACAATTCAAATCAGTGGTACTTGATATTCCTCAAAACTAACTTAAATTATGCATGAATACTTCTATTGAATATGTTAAATCAAGGAATGAATATAATTTTCGTACTTTTGTAATAAATCATTCTTTACAGATTGGAGTCATACCATTAGTATGTGGTTGGTGGCTAGACTTGTGCTCCTTATCGATGTTCGACGCGACTCTTAAAGACCGCGAGGCGAGTCTTCAAGCAGCACCATGGACCCTTATGTTCATTCATTGGCTGGTAGGAATGGTCTACGTGTATTACTTCGCGTCATTCATCCTGCTATTAAGAGAAGTTCTAAGGCCTGGTGTGCTGTGGTTCTTGAAGAACTTAAATGATCCTGACTTCAGTCCAGTGCAGGTTTGCAGCTTATATTTATATATATAATTTATATATTACTAAATCTAAGAATTAGCTGTGAAGTGTATAAATTCCTATTATAATAAAATTCCTATTAGAATTCTTTCACAGCTATTAGAGCTTTGCAAATTTCTACATACATATTAATTTTTTTTAGGAAATGATCCATCTCTCAGTTTGGTCACATATTCGCCGGCTGGTGGTGTCCGCTATGATATTCGGTACGGCGGTGCTCTTCATGCTGTGGTTGCCAATTAGGGTCATCAAATACGTCCTGCCTGGATTCTTGCCGTACGCCGTGGCTGTACACACGGAGGCACCGGTCAATGAACTTAGCCTCGAGTTACTTTTACTTCAGGTTCGTAATAATAATCAGTAATAGGGTAGATGACTGTCAAGTCAAATCAGTATTCTTTTTATTAAAAGTCAAAACGATAGAAAAGGTACATATTTATATGAAATAGTATAGCGTGACGTCACACCTAGCTACTGTCGAATCTTTTAATATTTAATGTTGATTTGAAAATATCAAATCAATAAAAATATTAAATTGATAATGGGGGACAATTCAACCTGTACTTTAAGATATCACATTTTCTTAAACCTTAGGAATCTACCTCATTCATTGACTCTATACAATAGTTGGTTAAATCTCTGTGGCGCGGCAGTAGTTATCGACTGCAATGGTCAATGTTTGCGCGTTCGCTTCCCTCTCAGTTTAACCATTTGTATACAAGCTTAGCTCACATAAACAATAGATATACTTTCCGTAACAAAAATCGTGTCAAATAGTGCCACTTGCTACATACTTTATTTGCACGAATTAAATTAGAGATCTCGATACAAAACTGTACAATATTACCAATATAACTTTAAATATATGACGTAACGCAAATGCTTTAAGCTATAGTTTATTACTTACACGACAACGTATTAGACTCATGTTACGTGAATTGCTTCTATGACCACAAGTGTAACTCATGCGACAACGAGTATATCGACCTGTAAGGGCCTGTAGCGATTATACTCCTTAACAGCCACGCAAATTAATGCTTAAATTATTTGTATGTAGAGTTGAGGAGTCAGGTTTAACGTTTCAACACAAACTTAAATAGTTGCCTACACATTAGAACGCGAGTTCCAACTATTTTCTTAAATAACTTTTGTACTATTAAACATTCATGTATATTTGAAAACCATTTTCATTTGTTTCATTAACTTTTTCATTAATGTTAGGCGCCAAAACACGATTCCTCGATTTTCGATTGAACTGTTGGTATCTTTTGCCCCTAATATCCCGTTAAAATTTGTACGAAGAAATGTCTATTCGTATTTACATAATTCTGAAGTAAATCTACCACATCGGCTAACGAGATTTTGACACCTTACATAGATATTACAGAAGTTATCATTAGAATCATCACTAACATATTAAGTTTTTTGTAATCCGGTGTATAATATAGTTGCATAGTGATAACATTTGGACTAAAATAAGTAAATAACACTTACGAACACTAAATTACAGAATACAATACGTACCGTAAAATAAAACATGTCATAACACGAAATAATGTCAGTAGTAACTAAATTTTTGTTTTGTGTATATTTCTGTATTCTATTTCTGTACCATGTTGTGTTAACCTTTTGTTCGGGTCAACTTTTTTTGGGACTTAACAATGACGGAGACTTGATTGATGTACACAGTAGTATTTAAAAGAGTAATATAATAAAAAAAAAAACTGATATTTGAGAAATGGAGTTTAGTGATGATACAAGATATAGAAATATATTTTTGAAGAAAGTGGTTTTTAACTTTCTGAACTACACTACAGCGATTTATTTTGATTCTTTTAAAATACGTTTTGTTTTACTGAAAATTTAGGACTAAGCTAGAATCTAAAAAAAAAACGGTTGTCTGTAAAGTCGGTTTACTGACGATAGTTGAACGTGCCAACGTCATAAGAAAATACTGATGGAATGGTTGCATTTTACGAAAACATGTAAATGTATTATTGTATAGCAGCTGTCCACGTGGACGCATCGCTCACTCTAGTAGGAGAGAGACAGAAGTCAAACGCTGCCGAATGCGGAGGCCGATTGTGCCTCTGTGTCGCTCGTTCCGCGCTCTCGCTTGCACTTCAAGCCTTAAATGGAACGCCTCAGAGCGAGGTAACGCCGCATGAGTCATGTTTTTTCGAGCGTGCAGCCGGCTCCATCGAATTATAAGACGTTGTCACGTCAAAAACTATTTTTATACGTACATACACTGCATGATATGATATGCAGAGGCTATAAAACATTGATATTTTGTGAATTATTATGAATTAAAATCGCTGATTCCGTCAACCAGGAATTTTAGCATGTTAAAATTGGGATTTTTTTAAATAAAAGAAGAAAGGTAGGTGCAGATATTGTTACACGTATAGTTTAGGCAGTGTAAGATTGGGAAGTTTATAATTTACGGGAAACTTTCATGAACACATGAAATAGATAAGTATTTGTAATTGTTGAATATATGTGCCGTCAGGTGATCCTGCCTGCATTGCTAGAGCAATCGCATACTCGCACGTGGCTAAAGGCGGGCGTGCGCGCGTGGTGCGCGTGCGCAGCAGGTGCGCTGGGGCTGCGTTCGTACCTGCTGGGCGAGCTTCGCCACGACCAGCCGCAGCCTCACCCGCCGCGACCACCACATCAGCTCGGCGCCGCACACCAGGTCTGTATGAATAATTGTTGACTATATCCTTATTAACATTGTTATACATATTTTTCAGGGTCAGTCACTGTCCGATACGACCTTCACACATTCAAGAAACTCGCCGGCAACGCCCTTTTGACTCCTGAATTGCAGGTGTTTATGGGTGGCGGAGCGGTGGTTTAGTAGGCCTAAATCTACTTTCTAAGGAGATGCTTATGTTCAGCAGCGGACTATTAAAGGCTGTTGAAGTAATGTGATGTGTATCTCTTAATTGTTTTTAAAATTATATTTGTATAAAACACCCCTTGTATTATATTCCAGGCGCTGATGCGTCGCGATGGTCCAGCTGGATTTGAACCCTACGTCCGAGTGTCGTGGTTCCCGGTGCGACTCGGGGCTCTGCTAGTCCTCGTGTCGATATCACTGGTACTTGCCAGCGCGCTAACACTCGTAAGTATCATAATGTATAAAAATACGTCACTGACTATGGTTCAAGAATAAATTGATTAATTATTAATAACCCGACTACTTTATAGGTCATCCCTGTAGCTATTGGAAGGAAAGTTATGGCATTATGGTTACCGAAAGCATCCGAGGGCGTGCATGAACTTTACACTGCAGCATGCGGTAAGTTGGTTCTCTTCCTTATTTTAGATAATAATTTATACTTACTTTTAAAATAATACAATAAAATATAATGAAGAAGTAAAATAATACTTTATGATATAAAACCAGTTTATAATATGAGTATTTTTTTTTGTGTAGTTTGTAAGGCAAGCTTTCTCGTAGTTTGTAGTTCGCGAAGATTTCTGTCTAAACCGGATTTTTTGCACTAATGAAATGGAATGCCAGTTTTGGTGATGAAACTTGTAGTTTATTAAAATATAATCTGTGAATGTTTTACAGTCTATCTAATCTAAGAGGTATCTTTTGATGTTTCATACTTTTCAAGTCGAAACCAGTTTGTATGGGCGTAAGACACACAATTATAGTAAACTTTCCGTAAAACGATGGAATTAGATATTTTGTCACAAAATGTGCAATTCTTATTGACTTAATTTAAATGTAAATCTTTTAAACACAGCAAAATAACTAAGATAGATATTTTTAGGCTTCTTAGACCATTGCGAGGCCCTTGCCTTTGTGGAATTAGTTTAATAATGATGCTTGACATAAAAATGCAATGTAACATATATTGCTCTTCGAAGATAAAAGCACGAGCTGACAACTGTTGACAGTGGCAGCCTGTCAAAATCACAGGCGAAATGGAACACGGGAAATCCCCTAACGTAAATCTAGCGCGAGTAGCGTGACGAGAGTTTTGGCGTAAGGCGCGAAATTTGAAATAAACATATTTTTCTATTTGGGTTATTGCACGAGGCCCCTGGCGATTGCCCTGCTCGCCACCACCAAAGGCCACCCGTGGTTATACGAGTATGTATGTGTTGACTTACATAAAATTAGGGGCAAGGTGTACTTTCGACCTATTTTACCGGTTATTATACCCATCGTTAACACTCATAACATACATATGTTCCTGACTCGAGCTTGTGTTGTTTATTTGTTCTTTCGTTTGTTCAATTGTTTTTATAGATGTTCATTTGTGTATTTTTTTTCGATTTTCATTTGTTTAGATTATTTATAAAGATTTACTAGTAAAACTTAAAATATAATAATGTATGGGCTTTTACAGTTATACATAAATTTATAAAACTGTAATCAATTTGTAAATACAAAGAAATGTCATCGAATTTTCTTAAGAATCGGATGTTATATCAATCGATTACTTTATCTCCCACCTTATTCTTTAATCTGACAGAATTGTCAAACGGCACCTCTTAAATTAGAGGGACTAGATTGCTAACGGTCTGTCTCGATCTTCTCCAGGTTAAACAATTTAATAGACCTTATGGTATAAAATGGCCAATTGAATCAGTTTTGAGAGAATTTGGGCAACGTCTACAAAGGGAAGTAATTTTTTTTAGAAAGAGAATCACCTCCACATATTCACATTAAAATAAAGTATCGTTTTATAAGAAAGTAAGGTACAGATATTGGATCGATTAAAACGCCGTGACGGCTGAACAGTAATGGATCGATAAATATTTATAGGTGTATAAATAGTGATAAAAAGTTATTTTCAGACATCGGTCCATAAACGTGTCAGTAACGATCATCTCACGTGTTAAAATCAGATATTAAATGTAAAACATAAATGTTTAGATTGGAACGGTTAACTAAAGTATAGGTCCGTACTTAGGCATGTACGTGTGCTGGGCGGTGGGGCGCGGCGGCACGCTGGCGGCGGGCTGGGCGCGCGGCGGGCGCGCCGTGCTGGCCGCGCGCGCCGCGCTCTGGGCCAAGGTCGCCGCGCGCGCCGCGCTGGCCGCGCTCGCGCTGCTCGGCCTCGTGCCGCTCATGTTCGGACTCCTGCTCGAACTTGTACGTACTCAACCTTCCTCGCTAGGGGTGATACTCGTACTTTCTTTCTAGTTTGACTGCACGAATGACGCATGCTGTACTCACATCGACCACTTAGTTGTATACCCGCTATGACTCACTGAGTATTGTAGGACAAAAATAGTGTCATCCGATCTGTCTCGGTACCGATTACATATCCTGAATGTAGGAATTAATGGCACGTTACATATTATCAGAGGTGTTTGTATGACACGCTGAATAAGCCAGATATCATTTTCGTCTAAACATATTACACGATGCTTTGTAGATCCGAACATAACGGCCCGAGCATAGCTTGTACTAAACGTTCTAGAAAGTATTATTAAAGATTATCACGATTATATAAAAAACTGCTATTTTAGGATTAAAGAAGCAGATTGCATTACATACATTTTTTTTTATAAATATAATTTTCTTAAATACGTGCCAACCATACCAGTTATTTATAAATTTTTATAAGCTGTGGTTTAGTATAATCAAATTGTCATGTTTCAGGTGTTAGTTATACCTCTTCGCGTTCCACTGGAACAATCGCCCGTACTATTCGTGTGGCAGGACTGGGCGCTCGGGGTGCTGTACACTAAGATTGTGTGTGCGCTCACCATGATGGGTCCCGATTGGGCCATGCGCCGGGCTATCGAGCGAGCGTACCGTGATGGCATTAGGGAAATGGACCTAAAGTAAGTAGTTGTTTAGTGTATTTCAAGTTTTTTAATTCGACACAAATAACTTTAAATTAATCTCATTGATTCATGACTTTTGTTAAAGTGTTAATTGAGATAAAAGGCGCAAAAACATATCACGTATTTATCTGTAGTATCAATTTCATGTAAAATCGACCTAATAACCATAGCGTACGAAATTTAAGCATTGAAATATAATTTAGTGTTCAACTGCTCTTGATACCCTTCATTTTAACCAAAACGAAAAATGATTCTAATTTTTTCATTCATACCTATAATTATCTATTCTATTCATCAGTTACTTACTGATTAAACGAAAATCTTCTGACAAAAGAGAAATTCAAAGTTTTTAACAACATACGTTGAAACAAAGAAATATACTACAGCGCCATCTAACGAAGACACATCGAACTACGGAGTAACTACTAATCCTGTATCGCGATGTTAACAATCGTCTCGTCGATTAGCACATATACAACTTCCCAACATCAAACGTCGGGCCGCGGCCCGCCAGGCATGAGCACCTCGCCTGGTCGATTCCCACAAATAATCATAGCCCGTCACCGGTCAGTAAGTGCCGTTTCCCTTGCAGGTTCATCCTGCGGTCGGTGGCGGCGCCGTGCGTGTGCTGGCTGGGGCTGGCGCTGGCGGTGCCGTACGCGTTCGCGCACAGCGTGGCGCCGCTGCTGCTGGCCTCGGCCGCGCAGCGCAACCTGCTCGCGCGCCGCGTCTACCCCGCGCTGTTGCTCGTCTGCGTGCTCGCCGCGCTCGCCGTGTTCCAGGTACCTTCCTTGTGCCTCGCCTTGTCCATATTCCTCAACTCTTTGCGAAAACTGAACAGTAGCATAGGACGTACCTATCGAACCTGAATATTATTTCAATTTGTTACGTCGTTATTTATTGGCTACTTACCGAATGTCAAAATAAAAAAAATGGATTATAGATAGTGCCATCCACGAAGACGCGCCCCACCGATTTCTAATCGAGGGGATCGCGGGTTGCGGGAGGTTTGAGTTATATGATCCATTTTTTTATTTCGACAGTCGGTAAGTTTGCAGAATAAAACTTATAAAAAAATGTTAACAGATCCGTCAGTTCCGGAAGTTATACGAACACATTAAGAACGACAAGTACCTGGTCGGTCAGCGGCTAGTGAACTACGACCATCGACGGCACAAACAACAGCAGAGCACCGTTCCCGCCAACTGAGTCGTGACGTCAGCGCCTCGTCACTCGTGATAAGCCCTGTAAGAGAGAACAGCGATCTCTTCTAAGTAAGCGAAACTTTAATCCGGAGAGCGTAAGTTGCCAACTACCTCCCTAAGTGATCTTTTTTAAACCTTAATTTTTTCTACAGTAAACAAACAATTTTACTGTGACAAGGCAAGCATTTTAATGAATATAAAATCTTTTATATGACGAATCGTTTAAATGGTTTTTCATATAATTCCATCGTCGTTATCGTGCTTGCTATGTGGTTTTCGATTCTTGGTACAAAGTTATATCTGGAATTTTAATTAGTGATATCGTCTTGTAAATAAAATGTTTTAGTCATTTAACTTTTAACCAAGTAATATTGGCATTCCTTGTATAGAAACAGTAGGATCTTAGTATTCAATCTAATGACAATGAATTTCCCCGCCACATAGTCACTGTCACGGATCGGAGTGTTGTACAATACGTTTCTTCCGATTTCATGTCACTGTTCTCAAAATATTATACGTATACAATAATGAAAACAGAATTCTGAAAGCTTGGTTATTCGATTGGTGTATAATCGACTAAAACTCGATTAAATATAAAATGGTCCGCGAAAATATAATGTAATTATTTTTGTCGGTTATACGTAAGTCATTAATAAGCTGAACGGAAAGAAAAATATTTTTATGTAGAAACATTTTTGAAGACCTGAATCTTAAAATCGGTCTGGAACACATGAAACTTGTAAAGTACAATTTTAGGGGTCAGATTTTCAATGTGAGTTATCGAACATTATACTCAAAGCGATTGTTAACTTAAAATGTTGAACAAATCCTTTTTTAAAACACATTTTTTTTGTTTTTCTTATGTCTCATGTCTTATGAACAGTTTATGTAGTTTTGTAAAAAATAAATTAGTAAAGAATTTTGGGTCAAATATTTTTAGTATATTTATTTACCTTTCTTTAGGTTAGTTATGACACTAAATGCTTGTGTTAGTATATGGTTCAAGCAGGTTAACAATCGTATTGATAACCAGAGACTCTCCCCCTGATAGTTTATTGTTAGGCCTTTTTGATTGTGCAAGTATTGGCACGGAAGTTTAAAATCATTGTTTATACTATATATTATAATTTATTGTCGTTACTGACCTGACTATTTCTACTATAATTTGGTTACTTCGTTTATTTACATTTTATTAAAATATTTAAAATTTATCTCCTTTATTTTTGCATGATGACATCCATTCATATAATAAGGGTATTTGCAGATTACTTGCACAATGCAATATGCCTTACGTCACATATACATTTATATCGATTACCGATCAGTAAATACTTTAAATTAAAAAATGATAACGTGAAATAATTTAAGACATGGTAAGTATAACAATGTGCTGCAGTAGATAATTATATAAACCTGCCAAAGTCTACATATACCATTAAAATAATTTTATCATTGTTATTGGCCCGCTTTTGGGCTTAGGATCTTTTTAATACAGGAGAAGTCTTGACATTTGCCAGAGAGAGAGAGAGATAAAAACATAAAAGATGTTTCTACAAACATGTTAATTCTAGCGGTTCTTGCAATAAGTTAGTTTGAGCTAGCCATCACATTTTATCTTAACAGTTTTATCTTTTTAGTATAGCTTAGAGTAACTTTCAATATTACACTTGTATACTTTTCTTGGAGATCGCACCGTTTACTTCGCCTTTGCATGTCGAACGTAACGTATATTATATTGGTCCCGATTAGTATTAGCTGCTACACTAAACACTTTGTTATTCTTCTATGACTATGCTATTAGTGGGAAGGTGGATGGCTACTTAAATTTTAGCTCTGGTAGTTGTTATCTGCGGGGTTGCCATGAACAAAAAGTCAGTAATATACTCGTACATCGTTAATAGTTATGCTTTGTATGACGTGAAGCTAATGTACTGTTGATTACACAACACTGTCTTCTGCCAAGGTATGTAATAAATGATGTAAATAAGAATTATATTGTTTTTTTTATAACAGGTAACTTTATTCATATTTTTATTATTTATTATATTGGCCATTCTCCTTTCTATCTAATGGAATAATTTACATAAAATAATTTCGACTATATTGATCTTCCGACTATATATTTGATTTTCAAATAAAAATATTATATGAAAGTAACAGTAGATGAGTATTCATTGATTGTATAGAAAAAAATTGAATTGTCAAATAATATATTTTTAATAATAAGTAAATTAAACAGACGTGTTTGTAATTTGGAGTTGTGTTTTATTTTATTGATTTCAGATATTGTACAAGATGTCTGTCAGTTCTTATAAAATAAATAAATTACGTACGAAGTATTTTGGGGGGGAGGGGGAGGGGGGGGGGGTGAAATTAGCGAAATTTTATTTTGTATTTCATTTCATTAGTGATAAGTAGTTTTATATTAATGTTATTTATTGTACACTGCTCAATCTTGTAGGGTTTTTGTTTCTTTTTTAATTTTAAAGGCTGGTTCTATTCTCAGAATATAATTTACAAAAATATGAGTATGTTTCAGAACATTCGAGTGGTCATAAGACCTTGTTTACACTTTAATTGTTTCATGTAGTGAAACTGACTCTGGGCTATCCAAGTTCGAAGAAAGACTTTAAAGTTAAGTTACAGCAACTAAGGTAATACTATTATTATTAGTTTAGCCTAGCCTGTATTTCACTAACATAAAAAATTTATCATATTTAGGTAAAAAAGCGGTACTAACGATACAAAACGATAATAATATTCATTAATGCCATAGAATTTATAAGTACTAACACTTGTTAGGACTAAATATCAATTTAGTTTGATTAGTTCTCCTGAAGAATACCTATCCTAGGCAGGCATAATGTTTATTTGAAGATATCAAAACGATAAAAAACATTAAATTGATAATGGAGGGCAATTCCAGCTGTATTTTAAGAGATGACATAAAATGATTTAGAACTATTTTATTTTGAATTGAGGAAGAAAACTTGAAACAAACTCTGTACCAACCCGTCAGGCCAGTGTTGTATAGTAGGCCAAAACCTCCTTTGTAAGGAGAAGCCCATGTCTGACAGTAGACTAACTATTAAAGGCCGTTGATGTTGATTTTGATGTTTTTTTATTAACCTAGATAGCGATCTACTCTATTAATGCGATCACAGACTGCTTAGAGTTAACTTGTGTTCTTCAGACAACTTACAATTATATTAGATGATCGCGTTAATTCCAGTATACCTACATACATTATATGTCATGGAATACGAAATTATAAAAACTTAAAAACTGATATTTACGATAACCCACAATTCGCTTTCACGGGATCTAAATTGGAAGGAAAATAGTGATAAAGTCTACCATAGATGAAGTTGAGCTGGTGACTGCCACGTGAATGTTCTGGAACTGTGTCAAAATAAATGAGAACTGAGTAACCCGTGTTTATGTTTTTAACCTCATAAAGTAACAACCATTGCATTTTTGACTTAGGACTGAGAATAGACGCCTGGTACATAGTGTTTTTAATTATTTTTTATCTCTTATTTCTCATTAAGTCTATTATATTTGTATATAAATTGTAACTATATTTTGACTGGCGTAGGGTATTTCTGTTTCGCGGTATCAATGGTGAGTTATAATGAGTTAGACGACAGTAGATACAGGCAATAAGCAATTTGTAAACAAATAAAATGATTATGGAAATAATTTTGTGGTTTTATTTTTATATAATAAGGGTTAAAAGGTATCACATATTCGTGAAATCCAAAGAGTGCATACCATTTTGTAAGAAAAGTATGAATGAACACAGAGAACTTGCAGTTTTTAGTTACGTAAGTATGTCGCTAAAGACCGTTGATTTGTCAATGATCCAGAGTTTGGACGGACCGAAATTATGACCAACCGATTAACCTTTGTTTGCCATTGCAAACAAAGGTTAATCGGATATATATATAGAGATATTCATTTAAATTACCTTCTTGACTATGTATGGGTTGAGTACCTGGTAAAATTCGCTTATGCTGTTTTCATACAAGATTACGTACCTATACATTGATGCATTAAGATAATTTCTTAGTGTTCCAAATTTAGCACTCGGAGGAATGCGGAAATTGGGTTTATTTAAAGTAAATATGTTTAAGAAGTGGAGAACGTTAAAATTGTAAGAATGAAAAACAATTACAACAATTTATAAATGTGAGAGTTTTTTAAGTACTAAAGCGAACACATAAAATTTTGTATATTTGCATTAATTTATTAGCACAGAAAAGGACAAAGTACTTTCATGCAGAAAAAACAGCAATTACGAAGGGATAGGAAAATAACTCTTCGAAAATACTACCACTGACTAATAGAGCTATCAGAATTGAATAAAGTCGTAGGCAGAAGCTGAATTTAAATGTTAAGTGAAAAGTCTGTATCGAGCTGTATTACCGGTATATGTGATGTTGTACTGTCGGGGCTACGGAAAATCTAATTTATATTACAAAAATTACAGACTAGGGTCTTGGTTGCATTTATGGAGGGTAGAGGCAAGGAGGACCATCTCTTATGGGGGGAAATTTGCACACACACACACACACTAATGAACTTCCACAGTATTTTTCATTACCTTATGATTTTCAGTTGGTTTTACCGATCGCATACAAGTATTAAACAGCCTGTCAATATTAGTAATATCGATAACTGATTCTCAATCTACGGTGGGTGACGTCAGTCAATTTGGAAAAAAACTTCCAAACAGTTTGCTAATCGAACTACTGGTGGGACTGGATAGAATAAACGAGTAAAGTATGGTGGAGTAGTTGTATTAAAAATAATGATGCAAACGAAACTAATTTGTCTCTTCTGCACATTGATGTGATGTGATGTGTACCTCTTCCGTTACTTACATGTCCTCACTTTGAAAGTGTATGCTGCATATTCTACTATAGTCGTTAGACATCCAATCAGGGCCTCAATTCTGCTATTTTATGTTCACGTCAAGGCACTGTCATACCGCTGACACGC